ATTCACACTAACATCGTCAAACTATATGCTTGTTATTTTTACGAAAACAAGCTTCACGTAAGTTTCAATCTTTTCTCATCGTTTTTACACTGCTGTTTTTTTTTGTCTGTTCGAAAATAACGTTCTTTGAAATGAGATTTGAATTTATAATGTTGAGTTTTTATAATGTCATGTGATCGCCATAGTTTAGATGATGCTGGAGTTTTGCGGAGGTGGTGCTGTTGATGCAATCATGATAGAGCTGGAAAAGCCTCTAACAGAAAAGCAAATCGCTTACATCGCAAGGTATGGTTTTATAAACGTCATTAAGCAGTCATTTCGCCATTTCGTTTCTCCTATTTCTTTTACTTTCTTTTTTTTTTATTTTAATACGATTGTAGCAATTGTACCACATTAGATACACCTGCGAGGCGATGGCTTTTCTGCATGAGAGCAACGTTATTCACCGCGATTTGAAAGCAGGCAACATTCTCCTTACTATAGATGGAGTTGTCAAATTAGGTTTGTTTGGAACAGTGTTATTGCGTTGCTTCTTCAATCAGATCTTTCATAGCTGACTTCGGCGTATCTGCAAAACTGAAGGATCGGAACGAGAAAAGGGATACATTTATCGGAACACCTTACTGGTACGGAATTTGCGATTTCCTATGATACTTGCGAAATTCCTTTTTGTCATGATTACTCATCTAATCTTGTAGTACGATCCTGCAATTCGTACTTACTTTTTGCCTCGAAGTTGTACCGTCGTGAATAAATAATTGTAGAATAGTCCTGATTTGCATCCATCGCTATTCAGGATGGCTCCAGAAGTCATGATGTGTGAAACGTTCAAGGACCAGCCTTACGATACACGCTCTGACATCTGGTCGTACGGTATCACTCTAATTGAAATGGCTCAAATGGAGCCTCCTCATTCCAATGTGAGTTTTTTAAACTGCGCGAGAATATTTGTATACCATAAACTATTATAGAAACTGTGTACTTTGAGCTGGTGTTTTGGTACTATTGAACCACTTGTCTACATCTCTAGGTGTCTCCAATGCGAGTCTTGATAAAAGTGCAGAAATCGGCTCCTCCTACACTCGACAATCCATCTAGCTGGTCGATTTTCTTCGTAGATTTCCTTTCTCATTGTTTGGTAAAGGATCCCTCGGAGCGGCGGACTGCCAAACAACTTTTATCTGTAAGTCTTCTTATCCCATCCCACCACTTGCATTTGTGAATTTCGTTGAAAATTTTAGCATCCTTTCATTGCAAGCGCCACTGACCGCCACCCAGTGTTAGCCCTATTGGCCGAAGTCAATGCGGAAATTCAAGAGGAAGTTGTCATCGACGATGATCGTGCCAGCTGTGACGAAAGTTGTGCTGATTCCGAAGATCAAGGCAACTTATTCAGCAGATCTTTGCCGATACTCACTATAACTTACTGCTGAAACCATACTTTTTTTAGATAATACAAGATCCATTGTAGTGTCAGAGGATTCAGTTTGGGCTGCTGTTGCACCTATCCCCCAGTCCAAAGATGGTACACAGCAATTAGCGGACCCTGTGCTTAAAAAGAGAGCTGCTCCTCCTCCGCCTACTGATGGGCCGAAAGTATCGTCACCTACGGTACGTTTTTCTTGAGTAATAAAGAGGGATTCTAAAAATATAGTGTTTTTATAATTAGATTGAGATGTATATGTGTTTTAGATAGTCGAGACGAAGCACCCCGACAAAGAGCTATATATTCAGCCTTCTCCGCAGCAGCTCAAGGTAAAGCTTGTTCAAATGACTATTCAATCTTCATTTTATCTTTAACCTTAGTACATCTATCAGGATATAATTTTAACTTTCCCTAAATAATCTCTTTTTTTCGTATTATTTATCGCCATCACAATTAATTATCCAATAAATGTGGCTCTTAGCTGTCTTCAACACTATGTGAAATAATTTTCTTTATTCTAACAATTGTGTCTGAATTTCCATCAAGCTTTTTGTAATCCTTCATTGAATATAGCACCGGTTTAGGCTGCAGGAGATCTAGTTAGCCCTGGACGCGAAGCTCTTAACATTCTTGACGACTTGAATGTTACTCTTGACAAGCAAAATTCTTCCTCAATTTCCATCCTCAATGATGGTATATTTCGATTTCGAATCTTAAATATCTTCAACACTGAACACTTCAAGCTTCGATGGTCGTTAAGCTATTATGCCATGTTTAGATGCCCATAGTCAAGAGTCTTTCAAGCCCGCGCCGGATCTTGAACATACCACCGAAATTACTGTACACAGTCCGACCCCGCAACATAAAATCAAAGATGGTTAGTCCTTTTCTTTTCTAATTCTTGTATATATCTGTATGTGTATATCTATAGCTTTTTTTTTAAAACTTTTCATATACTTCCTTTATTTAGGTCTCGTTTAAACTTTGTATTAGAGAAGCCATCTGCAATTATCTGACTTTTTTAGTTGTCGGCGCTGTACGTGCAGCCACAAAATCTCCTAGCCCACAGTTACACAAGGATCGTCAAAGTAGGAATTTTATATTCTGCTTGTAGTTCAGAGGTTATCACACTATATTCTGATTTTCACAAACTTTTCTTTGTAGAATCTCCAGCCACTTCATCCGAAAACGTTTACTTCCGTAATTCGTTGTCAAAATCTGCGTCACAGCAGAGCGTTCAGGATAAGGCCGTAATCAAAGTTGGAATAGATGTTCCTTATATACCTGTAAGCTCGCTTTTCACTTCCTATGTACCAGTAAGCCCGTTTTCCACTTCCTATCTCTTGTTATTCAACAAATACTGCTTTTTAAATTTCTGCCTTTCAAAATCGTTAATTTTTGCTATTGTTCTCGCTCAAATTACCCATTGTAAGTATTCATGTTCTTCACATAAATTCAGCCTCAACTGTTAAATAGTTGTAATTTAGGGTTAGGTGTTGCATTGCATTTCAGTAAGTAGATTTTGTTTCATCACGCACTTCAGTTGTTGCAAACAGTAATCGATTAATTTCATACAGTTATCAAGCGTGGTAGATTCTGCTCACGGGTCCGAGAAGCCCGGTCAAATCACTGAAAAGGAGATGTTGAAGACCAGCCTAAGTGCTTCCCAGGACAAGGTAAGATATTCATATACTTGTCACGATGTTCAAGAAGATGGATTTTATGACTTGTTTGCTGGGCACCTCGATAATCCATAAACATTGTGATAGTTACGATTTTACTCCCACTATTAGACAACTCACATTATTCACCAAGCTTTGGTTCACGCTAGATCTAATCATCCATTCGTTAACAACCATAACCAAGACATATGTAAGAGCCATCAGTTGTTCACGGTATTGAAGCAGTATTTAGGAAAATTTTTGATTGAATTCTTCATTTCTTATTTTTGAATGTGCTGGACGTCAAGATAAGATACTGTTTGAAAATCTGCTTGAACACTGCTTCAAAAAGCGACACAACCTAAACCTCGGAGGTTACTGCTTATCGTAGTTTTATCATTTTCCAACATTTGAGATTAGCCGAGTTAGAGTATCTCCTGTCGCATCTTTCAGAAGCGGATGCGCCTTCTCTCCCCCTCCGTCCTGAAGAATGGGTGGCCATTGGAAAATTCGCTATTTCGAAAGATTTTGACTTGCGCTCTCCCTGACACCCAAAATTTCTTACTGTGTCCTTTCCTGTAATCTACAGAGTAATTTTACCTAGACAGTGCCTTCAATGTAACTGGGAAATGAGCTCGCATTATTTACGATTTTTTATTCAGATGATCTTGTGAAATTGCAGCTTTTATTGTCGTCTTCTTCATCTGATAACCCCGCCTCAGCACTAGGGCAAAGCTTACAAAGTCAAGCTCAGAGGTTTGTTAAGACTACCTTCCTTATATCTTTTGAACTCCTGCAGCCATCTTACTTTGATAACTCAATTCAAGACCTCTCAATCGAGCT